GTGTTTATTATGTTTATTATAATGTTTGTAAACATTTCGCGTCGGCATTAGGCCTATTTCTGAATGAAACCGACTTATACTTAAACACATTTTTTTTATACGCGTAGCGTATTTTAACCATGCAGCAAACCTTTTTAAATACTTTGATCAATTACTGAAAAAATAAATAATTAAATGACTTTTTAAACCGTTTAACTGATTGTATTAATCGGTCAAAATTATTATGGCTGGTTAACGGTTAACCGGTTAAAATGAGCATCCCTATTAGTTAGTTTTCTTTTTATCACAACTAAGTCAACATAATAGTGAATCTTAAATAATTTAATTACTTTGGTTACCACTCATTAGTCAGCCAGAAAAATAAACTGTAGAGAGGGGCATTTTGCTAAATACTGTATATGCACCATATAGCCTAACATATTCATTATAATTTTTACTGTTCTTCAGTGTTTTTGAATATTGAATAAATCCATCAAGTTTTTATGACAGCCACCATTTAAATGTTTATATTTAAAAAAAATTGAAGTAGTAATTATGTAATTGTAACTTTATTATTATAAAAACTTAATTGAGCCTGATATATATCCAAAATAATCGATATTGAATCGAATCGAATCGCAAGCTTGTGAATGAGAATCAAATCGAATCGTGAAATTTGTGTCAAAACCCAGCCCTAATTGTAACATCTTTGGTACTCAGTCTTGCCCTTCTGAAATTAAAGCAGTGTTGCTAGTTAGATGTGTATATATATATATATATATATATATATGTAATTATATATGTTATGTTTAATTATATATTTTACAAAATATACATTTTGATTTGTATGTATTTTTTATGTTTTATATATACACATATATAAAGGTTTCTTGAGCAGCAAATCAGCATGTTAGAATGATTCCTGAAACTATTGCTGCTGAAAATTCAGCTTTTCCATGAAAGGAATATATTTTAAATATCTTTAAATGGAAAACAGTTATTTTAATTTCTAACATATTACTGTTCCTATAGTATATTTGACCAAATAAATGCAGCATTGGTGAGCATAAGAAACTTTTTTCAAAAACATTAAAAAATCTTAATTATTCCAAACTTTTGATTCCCAGTGTAAAAACAGTGTTTTACTTATTATTGTATTATTATTATTTATTTATTCTTCAACACTTACCATCAGAGTAACAAGTTCTGAACAAGTTCTGTGTTGAAAATATTCTTTAAGAAGCATTGTATATAGTGGAGAAACATGTACGAATAAGGATAGAGTAGTTGCCAATATTGTTGACTGGTAATTAATGTGCATTTTGTCCCAGCCTTTGAGTCGTTTAGTCTCTGCTTACGTGTTTGTGAAAGGGACATCGTTTAAGGGCCCTCTGAGGGAATAGAGTTTTTCCTCCCTCTCAATAGCAGCATGCTCTCAATTAGAGTATGTTTAATCAGGAAACCAGCTCGAGTACTAATTACCTTATCATAGCATGCATGTTAATTAGTTTTGCGAGAAGGTTTCTTTTTTTCCAATTGAATGTTCAAATGAATTCAAAGGCGAAAAAACGATGGAACTTTTCTTTGATCTTCTGTTTACATCTGTATGTGTGTTTATACCAAAATGTGGCCTATTTGCCGGTTTGAACTTCGAAGCAATTCAGGTGGTCTTAATTGACGTGTTGTTGCTTGTTTATTTGATATATGTAAGGCCTTATCGGATGGATCATTATGAAAGCACGTTAATTATCTTAAACGCTCAACTCAGTAGCAAACCTGCCTCATTCACATGAAAGCTCACACGTACAGCCTTTTTTGCTTGCCTCTTTGAGAAAGCAACTGAAAGTGAATCGGTTTGAGTCATTGTGAGTCGAGATGCTCCTCGCAAGCTCTTGGACAAAGCCCAGTCTGAGCTTGACGTGCTCTCAAGGCTGGAAAACGTGCTGAGTTTTGTGCTTCTGATGCGCTGTTATATCCAGGAGTTGCCATACAGGTGGTTTTGCTCTTTGTGCGCCAGTTTACCCAAGCAAATTGAAATGTTTACTGAAATGCCATGACAACTTTATTTTAGGTCCAAAAGTTCCTGACAAAAATCCAAGCGCTCTCTTTACACGTACTTAGTCAAACAGGTGGTGATATCCAAGCTCTAAAGAAAAAAAAAACTCTAAACAATAAATAAAACTCTAAAACAATAAAACAATAAAGCACCATTTGTTGGTTCATTGTTTTTCCTAGTGCAGAGCAAAGCTTTGTGAGTGTTGAGAAAGAGGCCTGAGAAATGTACTTGGGGATTACTGGATAGTTCTCTAAAAGCATTTTGATGTTATGAATGAGCATAATGTACGATCTTCTGAGGCGCGGATTGATCAACTGGTCATTGCCGAGTGAACTTCAAAGTTTGAAAATGAGAGAATCAATCTTTTGATTTAATATTATAGAGCTGCGAGATGGGAATTTTGAGTGCATTTCTGTGTACTTGATATGCAGTTGTTTACAGTGATTGAATGGATACTTTCAGGAGGGTTTATCGCTTGCAGTTTATTGGTATAATACACTTTTTTGTTTTCTATGATGTAGTGTAATGGTTACAGCAAATTAAACTTTGATTCATGAAAAATAGATGCATATTCAAAATAAAACATGATGAAACCTATTTCATGAAAGCTATTTCATTGTTCCTTAATTTATAGTAAAGTCACAAAAAATTCATATACCTAAGACCTGGCATTAGGCATGTGCTGATTACCTGTATCAAGGTATACCGCGATTTGAAAATTTCACGGTTTCAAAACCACTAACATTTTCCGTTATACCATTCCTGCGGTATGCGCTGTTTTTCATGTCTCCTCAAAGACTGAAAGTGTAGGAATCCCTCAGGTTGAGTGCAGTGTAGAGAGTAACACGACCCTCCTCCTCCTGTTGGTGCGAGCGAGCGGTCAGTCACGTGTGTGAAGGATGGACAAACTTAAGGAGCTGCCCCTGGAACTTATGCGATCGGCAACTGGCCGTTTTTTGTCTTATTGCAAGCAACTCGTCTGTGTTCTGGACTTGCACAAACTGCGTTGCAATGCATAGCATTTTCCAAAATGTAATTTATGTGAAAATAAGAAGTCTGTAAACCATACCTGTCAACCCTCCCGTTTTTCCCAGGATTCTCTCGTATTTTACCATTCTATCCCGCAATCATCCCGTTTAAATATTTTCCCGTATTTCTCCCGTATTTTGAATCTTTCTATAAAAAAAATCCCACTGGGCGTATTTTATATGTTTGCTACATTCGCTTCCGGTAAAACTTTTGTATGGGCCAAACCTCATTATATGAATAATCACGTCAACAAATTCCAAGGTTGTCCAGTTGCCAGATCTTGTATGAAACGCATCTTTCTCACACAATCGACGCATACAAATTTCAACCCATTTGTTCCCTCAACTTGGCAACCTACAGCCCAGTGATGCTATTGATATGTGCGCAGGTAGGCTACCGCGGCAAGGAAACAATGATCACTGGTAGAAATGGGAGGAGAAGACTCCGGTGGTGCTACAGTGAAAAAAAAAAAAGAAATATACATGTAAATTGTATAAATAAATTGACTAAAAACTAGAGGTCGACCGATGTATCGGTTTTGCTGATTAATCGGCACCGATAGTTGATTGCTGGAACTATCGGTTATCGACAAAAATCCATGCCGATAGTTTTCCGGGTTGCGTCCATTGCTGGAGCGGCTGAGAAGGGTCTGCTGTCATTACACAGTGCGAGAGCGCCTCTAGTGGTTGAAATCACTGACAGCACGTGCTATTTGTTTAGACACGCTTTACGTCCCCTTTAAATACAAGATAAGCATTCGATCTACGTCAGAGCGTCAGAGCGTTCACGAATCTTTCTACAGCGTTGTTGGCAGGGTGGCCAGAGCGATTTTTGACAGTCTCGACGGCGGCGTGAACGCACAGTAAGCCCTTTTGCGCTTTGTTTAGAGCAAAGCCAAAAATGACCCTTATTTTTCAATAAGGGTCACACCGCCCCCCCTCCGTATTTTGGTACACAAATGTTGACAGGTATGTGTAAACGCCCATTAACAGATATGAATGTATCTCTGAGGGGAGATGACTGTCTTCAGAAATGTTTAGATGGTATTTTCTTTTCATCTCGTCTCTGTATAATTCACATTAAAGCAGTGTTTCAGCTCAGCTCTGTTTACAGCGGTAACCAAGGAAACGCTGAATCAGCGCCTCCTGCTGTCAGAGAGTGAATCTGCGTCCCATTCAGAGCTTCGCTGTTTGTTTCGTTCAGGCATGTAGTATAATTTCACAAAGCTAGTCAGAACATTCAGTTTTTGCCTCAAATTGGGTTATTATTAAATCAAATTGTCTATTTGAAATTATATAACTATCGTTTTTTTTTTTTTTTACCCAGACATTTAAAATTAACACATTTTAGAGCTGTAACAACAATACCATGATACTGTGAAACCGTGATATTTTTGCTTAAGTTTATCATACCGTCAAAATCTCATACCGGCCCATGCCTGCCTGGCACACTGACTGTTGACATTTGTATATTTGTGATTTCAGGCACTTCAACAATACTAAAGGGATTTATGCGTACAGCCTACGATCACCTGTGAGTTTACCTCCTGATACAGTAAGGAACTTCATACCTTTTCCTTTTGCACCAGCTTTTTTCATTTAAAAGGGATCACAATGATAATTCGTAATACTAATTAATGCTTACATGGCCTTTTTGCCCACTTGTTTTTTTTTTGGTAACCACTGATATATCAGCCCATATTTGTATATATTTTGAGTTCATCAGCATTGGATGATAATCTTTGATAATTTTCTATAACATAAAAGGCCTGTATTGTTATTATATGGGCAGTTGGTTACGGCACTCTTTAGTTACCCATATCAGCCATTAAAAACCCATTTTGGTTTAGTCACCACAGTTTTGCATTAAAAACACTCAAGACAATCAAAATAACTTTTAAAAGTTAAATGTTGAGGAAGCAGCAAAAATGGAGGAGAATTTCAACATTCAAATCCAAATGCAACCAAGTGAATTCTGAAGCATCTAAAGAGACAACATCTAAGTTATAAAGCTTAAGAATTACTGTTCCATTCTGTTCATTGTTTATACTGCATGTCCTACCATTTGCATCCTTAAGTTTGGTACTCCAATCCCTGTTGTTTTCTACAATCCCAATCTGGTGTACTCTTCAATTTCTGAACCGCTTGCTGGGATAAAAATGAGTTAGTTGTCATAATTGTCACATAGGACCATTCTGGAAGGAGTCTTTAGTTAAAATAGATTGCTGGTTGTAAATATACTTACAGAGATGCGTTTTCGCATGGTTAAACATCAGAGGCTTGTCCTTTATCAGTGTGTTTGACAGTCTTGCCGTGTGTCGCGTGCACTGCACAATTTGGATGACAGTGGTAACTGGCAGTCGAATAACCAAATTATTTAGTCATGGGTTTTAAATGGGCACGACGACAAATGGATGTCAAGTAAATGATGCAGTTTATACCCCCTTTCCTCCTCCTCGCCAGGCGGGCTGCCACGGGACTTCTGCCAGCCTTAAATAAGTGTTACCCAGATGGCACTCGCATGACGCCCACTTGGTTACAGAATTGTTCCGTGGGAATAACTCGGCTTGCCACAACAAGCAATAGGTCAATTGAGCAGCGAGTGCCTGTTGCTTGACCCGTTTTGCATATGCAAATCTGCTAATGTTGTGTCATTTCGGTAAATTCCAGGGGAAGGCAGGCTCTCGGGACTTCCTAAATGAATTGGAAAGGAGCCCAGTTAATGAGGGCGGAGGGGAGAGAGGTAAAAAGAGGAGATGCTCGCTTCCTCCACTCACTTCCTTTTGTGAGTACATCACTTCCAAGTGCCTCTGCTTCGTGGTAAGGGGAAATGTCTGTAGTTGGACTTCGTGGTAATGGGATAGTCCAGCGGGTACTAGGATAAGTGGTTTTTCACCCGTCTCTTGCTCTATGGTCTTTTTGAACACAATTCTATTTTAGGAGGTGTGGAAGACAGGTGTGGTGTTTTCTACCTCCTTTCAATCCCTCAAGCTCTCTGCATAGATATCTCTTGATATCTCTATTTACAATCTCTATTTATTCCTCTCTCTTTTTCTTTCCCTCTCTTTCTGCTTTGTGTCCATCCTTTTCTCATTTTTACCTTTCAACTAGGGCTGTGCGATTAATCGAAATCATCATAAAATCGCGATTTGAGCTTGCGCGATTTCTAAATCGGTTTTCCACGCCCCGACCTCCCGCAGCATGCTATCCGAACTAATCAGAATGCAGCACGCCTAAATGGAGCAAGAGAATAGAACAGACCGGGCGGGCATACAAACGTAACGCCAGGTTCACACACTCCGTCTGTGGTGCGTATTTTTTCCGTGCCCATGTTAACTGATCAGCGCGTTCACACTGATTGAAAGCAAAATGAGTCCGTGCTGCTTCTGCACCGCATACACATACTGTATACGCACTGCAGACGGAGTACGTGTGAACTTGGCGCAACAAATCTAGTTCAACATCTGAGGCAACGCCACAAAGAGCTCTATGACCAATGCATGGCAACAAATAAAATCCCTGGACACGGGATTTTTTTTTTTCTGCCATATGTCTATTCTAGAGACATTTTGTTACACCTTTACTTAGTGACTATTTTTCCTTATGTCTGTTCTAGAGACGTGTTACAGCTTTTTGATAGAGCTCTAATTGGTTTTCTTTTGGAAATATGTTTCAAATTCACACTGAATGCATTAATGACTGTAAAGCATGTCTGTGTGTGGCAAAATCGTGTTTAAAATCGAAATCGCAAAATTGATCAAAGAAATCGCGATAGTTTTTTTTTCTGTCCATATCGCACAGCCCTACTTTCAACCCAACCTCTTTTATTTTCTGCCACACTTCATGGCATGTAAGTAGGCCGCACTATGGCTGTGCAGCTTGTGAGATGGTACGAAATGAACTTTATACTTGATACGAAGTGAAATCTTTCATAATGGCCATGGCTTTTCAATATACGTCTTTGCAGACTTTGGTCACAGTTGACAGTTTTGACTGGCCATTCTACATAACGTTTTGACATCCTTATTGACAAAGTTGAAACAGTTCAGCAATATTATTGGCAATGTCAAAAAAGTGTTACATAATATCAGAACTTTTGCTCTGTGACTTCATAAGCAATCTCTTATGATTCTTGAAAGTTGTTTCAACAATTTTGCTGTTGAAACAACTTTCAAGAATGGCGACTAGGCCTATGTATTTACATTGGGTGTGCCTCACACGTCCTGAAAAGTGAAGCTGCGGGCTCTTTGATTGCCCCCTCGTGGCTGGCTGCAGTACAGGTCATAAACCCCGCCATCTTCATGTAAACGAATGGGACTTGAGTCAAAATAAAAAAAATTATTACGCTTCCAATACAATTTTCCTAAAGATGGTTTTGCTCATTTAAGGTAGTTGTTATCACGCTGATATATGTTAAATTGTTTGTTTTTGTGATAAGTTTGATTTTAGCTAGTAATTTGATGCTATAAAAACGGGGCGTGTCGTTATGGTTGATTGGGTCTGCGGGAGTTTGATACCGCGGCTCCACCTCACGACACTACTGCGCAGACTCTGGCTCCAAACGAATCTCTACTGCGCAGACTCGGGCTCCAAATGACGTCATTTACTCAAGATGGCAGCGGCCATACTGAGATGCTTTGGCTTCACTTTTCTATAGTGGAAGGAATAGGAGACGCGTCGTCCATCTTTTTTTACAGTCTATGATTTACATGTTATAACTTAAAATTTCGCATTTAATGTTTTTTTCCTGATTGTTTTGCGATCACATCTTTTGTTATCTTCGCGTATTAAACTGAGACGATGTGCATCAAAGTTTTAGTGGAAAAAAGATTTTCAAACAGTCCTCATCTCTGCCGCACAGCAGCATTGTCGCACACAGACTGCTAAACGCAGCTCAGTTGTGCAGCGCGAAGGAGATCGAAATGATGGAGACGTAAGAAGTGAAAGTGCAGAAAAACAGCGTCTATTTCGTGCACAACTTGAACAAAGTACAACAGGTAAAGCTGTCAGCTGTGTGGATATTGGCAATATCGTTAACAATTCTCGTTTATAATCATTACTAATATGGCTTCTTCTTAACAAGATTTTCTATGCTGTTTGTTTGTTAGTTTGTTTTTATTTGATTTAAAAGGGACAATACAAATTAATTAACATGAGTAAACAAGTCTGCTATGTAAATGTGCCAGATTTAGTCATTCAGGCTAATTTTCATCTGCAGTCCCTGGCAGGTTGATGGTAAGAACCATAATCCACAAATACACAAAACAGAAACAAACATATTACAAAAACCAGAATACAATAAAAAAGAAAAAAAAGAAACACTACTTCAAATTATGAAGACATATTTGATTATCCAATAACCACCCTTTTACTGATTCAGAAAAAGGAGCAAGAGATGTAATATTTCTTAATTCTATGGGTATAGTATTCCAAGTATGTACTGCTCTATAAGAAAATACTGATTGCCCAAAAGTACTTCTTCTATATGGTATTATACAGTCCCCTCTAGTAGTGGCTCTAGTAAAAGAATTCAAATTTTTCCTGATAAATTTATTAAGTGGGAGCGGAGCCAAACCATGCAAAATTTTGAACACAAGTAAAATATCTGCAAATTTAATCATATTTTCCCAACTTAAAAACCCATATTTAGTTAAAATTTCACAATGATGATATGAATTAGACCTTTTATCCAATATTTTCAAAGCCTGCTTATAGAGTCTTTCTATTGATTGCAAAATAGTCCCACCTGTCTGTGTCCAACTGGTGAGACAGTAATTCATATGTGAAAAAATCATAGCATTAATGTATAACTTTGAGGCCTCAGTGGTTAAATTATTCCTAATATATCTAAAATTTGCCAAATTAAATTTAATTTTATTCCCAACTATTTTAACTTGTTTTTTAAATGTAAGTTGTGAATCAAGTATTATACCTATTAAAATTATTCAAAAAATTCAACAAAATACAAACAATAAATACAGTTTTGTTTTTGGCGCTCTTTAATGCGGCAGGCGGGGTCGCTTTAGCGCCTCAGTTCAAGTGGCAAGTGAACCCATTATATCTTTCTCTTTACTACTATAGTAGCACCACCTTTATCTAATTTTGCTTTAATATTTTCCAAAAGAAGACAATTTGCGTTCTGTTAATGCGTGAATTTCATTATTTGAAGCGCACTTGCTGTCCAGTAATCGCAAAAAGCTTTGTTACTTTTTAATAAACAAAGGATCAGCTTTAAAATTATTCAAAATTCATACCAAAATACAAACAATAAATACAGTTTTGTTTTTGGCGCTCTTTAATGCGGCAGGCGGGGTCGCTTTAGCGCCTCAGTTCAAGCGGCAAATTAACCTATTTAATCTTTCTCTTTACTACTATAGTACATAATGAACATGAATTAACATCCAAATTTATAAGAGAACCTACAGTACAACTTACTGAAATGTCTCATGTAAAAGCTCATTCAGTGTTTCAAATTGCGGAAAACGTGTAAAGCTTGTAAACATTGCAACATAATATACATTTACCTCAGAATAACCATTCGGTGTCCATAAGCTC